TTAGCGGTGGGATGGCAGGGTTAGGTTAAAGGTTGGACTCGATGATCTTAAAGGTCTTTTCCAACCAAAGCGATTCTATGATTCTATGATTCTATGATTTCAGCCGGGTTCACTGGCCTAAGGAGCACCCTGGGCAAAGGGGAGCTCGCCGCATGAGACCTCCGTGTGATAGCATGCGCTGCGGCAGGCAGATCCAGCCGCGGGAAGGGCAGCTGCGATCCCAGCTGGCTGCCCGCAACGCTGGCCATGGGAACAGAGGCGTAAAGCTTCGCTCTCCTCCAAGCAAGTCAAGTCACAGGTTTATCAAATACAAGCAGAGCATTCCACATCACTTGCTTTCAGAGGCACAGAAAGAGATGAATGCACTTTCTGCTGAGAGCAACAGTTCTGCTGGCTACCTTGCCTTGTTCTTTCCCAAATTTTTGTGGTCGGGTTGCATTTGTTCATCATTCTCACAGCATGAATCTCTCTTCACTGTGTTTGTCAAAGAATAGACCAGCAAGTGTGCGGCTAGAACAATTCCCAGTGGATTTCCTGAAGCAAATGTATACAGTTTTTACATTTTTGTTTTGGGAACTATGGTCAACATTAAGTATCCAACATCTGCTGAGATTTGCAGAAGACTCTAAAGACCCAGTGTCAGTGAGCAATAGCCCCCCTCGCCTGCCCATGCTCTTCCATCTCCTGCAGAGTGCCCTCCCCAGCTCATTTCACCTGCTTGTCATCTTCTCTGTACTACAGCTTTGCCAAAAACTGTTTTTGCCAAATCATAAAATATCCATCGTTATTCCTCCTTTTATGCAAAGAGTATTTTTAAATTGTAAGTTCTTTGGTAGAGAAAACACCTCAATTCATAATGACGGTTTTGTTTAGAAGGGCAATTTCTCACCACAGAGAGATAACCAGGAGGTGCAAAATAGCCCGTGGAAGGACAACATGGAGCTCTAGTTTGGTCAGACCTGTGACTGTGATGACCCATGGGCCAGGACACCTCCTAAAGCACCCAGAGGAAGCAACTCTACTGCCAATATGCCGTACAGCATGTACCACACGCTGGCCCTACCACCTCCACAAGGTCTTTCAGGGCAGCCTGTGCATTAGCAATGGAAAACCATTGCCCAAGACCGAAACCTCTTTTAACAGCGCCATATGTTATTTTTGTAAAATGTAAGAATCAAACCAGGAATCTATAGACAGACATCATTCCCTATAGCAAAAATACAAGCTGTGGTGATAAAATTGTTTATAATGAGGCAAAAAAAAAAGTGCTCAACAAGTAGTTCTGCACTGTATTTGCATACTTTCATCACCGGGGTGTGATGAAATATTTTCCAGTCCCTTAATAACCCAGGAGGATGTTAAGCAACACATA